CAAGAATCTGAAAATGTAATTAGGTCATTTTGACCAAATTTAACTTTATCCTCATTTCGATATGATGGCTCACATATTTGACTTCTCAAACAAATCACTTTAAAATATATGTTTGTTTCCAATCAGACAAAGTAGTTTAATAAAAGTGTGAGTTGAGAGTCTGCTCACCTTTAGAGGAACACTTCATCATCTGGAGGAAAACATACGTTGATTAGAGACGTTTAAATGTTCTGTTCCTGATGGAGATCAGCTGCAGCTCTATACTGAGCTTTAATGTCTAATTATTAATAATATTATTAATAAGTCTATGACGTCATGTTTAACAAAACTCTCCTGGTTTGTTTAGAATGAAGACAGAAAACTGGAGCTAGTTGTGAAACCTTGTTCCTGCAGACTGAGACTGTGTCATAACACGGACACACAACAGTGTGGTTACAGGGTGGAGACACATGAACATCCTCACATTCATAAAACATCACTGTGAACAAGTTTTGAAACAATCTGCTTAATTACAGAGGATTAAACTAACGTTGAGTCTGATAATGTTTCTGTTCATGTGTGGGATGATGACAGGCTGTAACCTGTGCTGAGCAGAGTCAACGTCCAGAACACAGCAGAACTAAAAAGCACGAACACATAACCCTGCTTCTCTCCATTAACTTCCTGCTCACCTTTAAGATTTTATTATTTGTCTTTTAAAGGTTTTAAAGGTCTGGCCCAGGGGTCTGCAACATTTACAATCAAAAGAGCCATTTCTGTTCCTGGGCTCACTAATAAAATGTGTCCAGAGCCACAAAATAAGCTACAGCTGTGATTATCAACTGCTGGTCCGTGGACCTTTTCAAAGCCTTTTCGTGAACCTTTATGGCCATTGGAGGTGACATAAACCTAAAAAATATATTTTCAATTTTATTATTATTTTTACAATTCAGGACTGAAGAAAAAACATATTAATGTACAAGAAAAATACTGACTATAGTTTATACAGAATTTTATAAAAACCAGTACAGCTGAACTAGTCAGACTTTTTTTTAATTCTTTTTGTTATGTAGTCTTAAAGGTGTTTAAAGATAATCCTGATGGATTTGAGAGAAATATCATAGATTATTTAGGTAGAAGACAGGCTAGCATGAGCTAACGTTTTACTTTTTGTATTAGTATTTTTGAATTAGTAGTACTGATCACATATTTGCATGTAATTTATTGGTGTTGTGAGTATAAAAACAAAACAAAAAATCTGTTGTTTGGTCACATTTTCAAAGAGCCACTGCAGAGGGACCAACACTGTAAAAAAATGTCCATCTAACCAAGTTTTAAACCTTATATCAGCCAAAAAGTCTTTTTGATCTTGTTTTCAGACTGATTTACTAAACAAGAACTGATTGTGTAAGAATAATCATCTTGTTTTCAGAATATGTAAGATTATTTGTCTTGTTAGTCTGAAAATTTGACTCTAATTAAGTCAAACATTTCTGCCAGTGGAGTAAGAACATTTTACTTGGTAAGATTCTTGAAATACTTGATTTGACTCAGTTTTTTCTTATTTCAAGAATCTTACCAAGTAAAATGTTCTTACTCCACTGGCAGAAATGTTT